TGTCACTTTATATTTTCTTTTTCTTTCAGCTCGAAAATTGAATCTCGATACACGGCTTACAGATTTACGGGAAACTTTTGATCCATACTACGACTGTTGACTTTGAGTTGCTCAAAGTAGTTTAGTTATTTGGGATACGTTCGTACAATATTTGAGAGTGTGTTGAAAGGCACCTAGGTACATGAGATTAAGTTCGTGTAGCTTGAGATCAGAAATACGACAATCACACATCCAATTGTCAGTATAGCTCCATTAATCCTCAGTTCCCTATACCATCAAGTTGATATCTAATCAATCAATCCGCAGATCAAAATGCCCCTTCATCCCCAAGACGAAGTGCAATCTCAATCTCTCTCCGATCCCCAATCCTTCTGGGCAAAACAAGCTTCCCAATTGCACTGGCATAAACCACCGACCCAAATCCTAACTGAGAAAACAAAGACGCTGAAATCAGGTACTTCGCATAAACATTGGGAATGGTTTGGGGATGGAGAAATAAATACTTGTTACAATTGTGTGGATAGACATGTTTTGGCAGGAAATGGAGAGGAAACGGCGATTATATGGGATAGTCCTGTTACGGAATGTAAGGAGAAGATTAGCTATAAACATTTGTTGAAGGAGGTGGAAGTTTTCGCGGGGGTTTTAAGAGAAGAGGGGGTGGGGAAGGGGGATGTAGTTTTGGTTTATAGTGAGTTTCAAGAACAAATACACATCACTAACATATGCGAAGGAACAGCAGCTAATAAGTTACAGTGCCCATGATCCCCGCAGCTCTCATAGGCACCCTCGCAATATCTCGCCTCGGTGCTATTCATGCCGTCGTCTTTGGAGGATTTGCCTCAGCAAGTTTAGCGCAACGAATCGAAGCTTCTAAACCAGTAGCTATTCTCACAGCCTCTTGTGGAATCGATGGAACCAAACCTCCTCTATCCTATCAACCGTTCATCCGAGAAGCCATTGCTCTCTCATCGCATAAGCCCAATAAGACTATTATATGGCAACGCGAACAACTACGATGGGAGAATCCCAATAAGGAAAGCGGCGAGAGGAACTGGCAGAGATTAGTCAAAAGTGCCGGTTCCAGAGGAGTTAAAGCATATTGCGTACCTATAAAGAGTACAGATGGTCTCTACATCATCTATACATCTGGAACAACAGGTTTACCTAAAGGTGTATTACGAGAAGCGGGTGGACATGCGGTCGGTCTAAATCTATCTATTCGTTATGTATTTGGTATTCATGGACCTGGAGATGTAATATTTTGCGCATCGGATATTGGGTGGGTAGTCGGTCACTCATATATCTTATACGCACCACTCTTAGCTGGTGCCACGACCGTCCTCTTTGAGGGAAAGCCAGTAGGAACACCAAATGCGGGAACCTTTTGGAGAATCATTGATGAATATAAAGTCAATACTCTCTTTACAGCACCAACAGCTCTTCGAGCTATCCGTCGCGATGATCCGGAAAATAAATTATTCAGGGAGATTGGAGAAAAGGGCGGACTTAAGAATTTCCGTGCGTTATTCCTTGCTGGCGAAAGAAGTGAACCGAGTATCGTCACCATGTATCAAGAGCTTCTCACAAAATATGCTGCAAAGGGTGCTAATGTAATTGATAATTGGTGGTCATCTGAATCAGGAAGTCCCATGACCGGAATTGCACTTTCACCTCAAAGTGCATTATTACGAACTCACACCCATGAAACCACACCAGTCCTCCCTATTAAGCCTGGGAGTGCTGGGAAACCTCTCCCGGGATTCGATGTTCGCATCGTAGATGATACCGGCAAGGAAGTTCCACGCGGGAAAATGGGCAACATAGTTCTTGGGATCCCCTTAGCACCAACAGGATTCAGAACGCTATGGAATGATGAAGAAAGATTCTATAAGGGATATATGAAGCGGTTTGATGGGAAATGGATTGATACAGGAGATGCGGGTGTTATAGATGAAGGGGGTTGGGTTAGTGTTATGAGTCGAAGCGATGATATTATCAATGTGGCAGCTCATCGTTTTAGTACTGGTTTGTCTCTTATTTCTTTCGATCGCTCGTCCTGCCTCTTTCAATTGTTTTCTTTTCGCTTTCACAAACATCCGACTCACTCACCATCACAATAATCATATCAACAAAGCTAATACCACAAAGGTGCAATCGAACAAGCAATCTCAACACATCCCCTCATAACCGAATGCTGCGTAGTCGGTATCCCTGATCCTCTCAAAGGACATATGCCATTTGCATTCATAACACTTTCCACGCCTACTCATCCCGCATCCGCAATCCCACATGCAGATTTGGAGAAAGAGATCCAGGGACTGGTGAGGAAACAAATCGGGGCGATTGCTAGTCTGGGAGGGATCATTCAAGGGAGAAATATGATTCCTAAAACGAGGAGTGGTGAGTTCTTTTTGGGGGGGTTGGAAAGAGGCTGGGCTGTGAGTTTTGAATGTGACTGACGAGATGAGTTTTTAGGTAAAACTTTGAGGAGGGTTTTGAGGGAATTGTTGGAAAATGAATATCATGATGAGGGGGGGAAGAGTGTTAATGTTCCGGCGACGATTGAAGATGAGAGTGTAATTGAGGTCGCGAGGGGGAAAGTTAGAGAGTATTTTGAGATTAAGGGGAGAGGAGATGGAGAGACTGAGAAGGAAATTGAGAGAGCGAAGTTATAGGGTTGGGCTTGGTGATTGTATTGTTGTATTATTGTATTTATTGATGAGATTAGATGCGAGTAGTTTTTAATGAGTGTATTTATTGGAAGGGAAAATGCGGTTTATAGATTTACTTTCTTGCTGGAGGATAGAGAATCAACTGTGCATGATTGTTACTGAATTTTCAAGGTTCTAGTAACTAACTAACATCATAATATTTAGAAAGAAATGAGCTTAATAAAATATTAAATAGGAGAGACCCTGAAAGCAAATACTAGGCGAATCTTCGGCAGTTCGCATATTGGTTCAGAGGGAGGGGATGATATTAGGATACTGATCTCTTCGTTTTGGGAATTTCATAAGTAGAGAATTGGGAGAGAAAATTGGTTGGGTGGGATGTGTAGCTGAATGAATGAAGTTGATCGATGTTCGACGTTCAGTTATGGAAAGATGTGGTTAATGTTAAATATTATATAATGCTCTTTTTGATTTTTCTTTCTTTTTGTATTATTAAGTGTATATAATAGGTGAATTATAATGACGCGAGGTAAAGTAAATTCACTTTTAGCCGCGTGATAGTATCTTGCCGTTGTTTTAATGTGTATTTCTAATGTAAAGCGTCGATATGTTTTCATTAGTACTTGACAGCGCTGTATATTTTCCTTTTTTCCCCCTCCTCTCCTTTCCTTCTAATAAATCATTCATCCATTCAAGAATTGAAACGTTACGATCACGGGACACATAAACTATGCTGCATGTCAACCTCTCGCTACATAGGTATACATAGGTATCCAGGGATTATAGGTATATATTATCTAGTGATGCATCATGTATAGGATGAAAAGTGGCATCTAAGCTACAAAGGAATGGGGTGAGTAGGGTGGATGGGGGATGGAGGATGTTTGTATACTAGATATATGTACTAGGTATACACGTATAATACATATGTACTATGGGGGTGATGTTAATTTTCTTGCAAAGATGAGAGATGTTCATAAGTGTTGAGTTCAACTTTGTTGTCCCCGAACTACTTAGCGATGAATGTATGGGGAAGCTCTCGGTCGAAATTGAGATCTTGGTCTTGTGTTGGTTGACGGCCACAGATGTGTATATAGTTGTTGCCAACTAGAATTATTCGTTGAGCATCGACTTGAGTAGCAATGCTATCGGATATAGAAGAACTAAGATTGATTTGCTCTTCATTGGTTCTATCGCTGTGGGTTTCTCCACTCGTGCGTTGTGGTTTGTAGTCTTTATCGAGGAATTTTATATGTAGAGTTATCAGCGCCAACGGGACCTCATGTTAAGAACGCGGATACGGATGAGTTAGAGGAGGTTAGTTATAAGTTGCCATAACGGGGAAGTAATCTGAAAGGTCTAAAGTTATCGTAGTCATGATTGTTATGATACCGAAGTCAAGGAAGATCATTCTAAGCTATCGAAGTGTAAAAATATGAAGCTCTTAGGTATTCATACTATTTCGGATACATGCATGAGAGATGGTTGAACAAACAAAAGACTTTTCGTACCTACCTATCAGAGATTCTCGCGCTTGCTATAATCACGTGAATGCGCATACGTATTCCTGCTGCCATCCTTTGCTTACACAGTATAACGATGCCCACTGGCCGGCTGCCGCAGTTATACGTCCGATTATGTGTGGTAGTTAAGTATAGGTAGAGCGATGCAGGCACGCTAGATACCTCTCGTGAGGCTCGGTGACCCTTGCAGAAGCATATGTATTAGCCTAGCGCTATAACGGAAAATGTTTCATGAAGCGAAGAAAGAAACAACTCCCGTACGTTTCTACAGCATCCTCTGCAGTATAATAAAAGATTGTTTTTATCCTCCCTTTCTTCCACTCTCATCACTTGCAGTTGAAGAACGTTTCTTCTTTCTCGCTCTCATCCCTTAGGCTAGTTTTTAGATAGATTCATCGGTAGGTAGTTCAGTCCTTCTAACCCTCCGGGGCGCTTCTCCTACAGAAGAAGCCTTTACAAAGGGAACGAAGCATCTGTTCTACCAAGATGAACCGCCTAATACGAAGCTATTCCCAGTATTAAAGAATTGCATGTGGGAGTGAGAGCACCCAATACAAATAATAATTAAATATTCCTTTATCCTTTTTCCGAGATGCAGCGATTATCGCTTCTCAAACATAAACACAATTAAATCCTTCATCCACCCTCCTAACCCACTCAAGAATTTCACAACCCTCAAGTCAAGGCATCCACGACTATATGAGTTTCCAATATCAAGAACATCAGCAAATTAAACCTGAGACGTTTCGTTATTAGGAAGGGAAATTGATGAATAGAGTGAAGTGATGAACATAGAGCAGAATTATGGGGTTTGATAAGGTTCTGTTGCAGGCCTAATAAACCAATTAAGTTCTGGTACGTAGCTTGACAAATTTCTGGCGGGAGTGACTACACTAGCAAAACTTGAGTTCTTATCAGAAGGTCGAGAGCCAGTTTGCAACATTGTGACTTGAAAATTGGCGTCCCGAGCTGCAATTCGAGCATCTATATCTTGAGGTCCAAAGGAAGGCAAGTGCACAACTTCAATTTGCTCTGATTCTGCATCAAGTAGACGGAAGGAAAAGCATACCGTGTAACTCGGTGTCACGCCCTCAATTCCAAACCTTCATTTTCGCAAAGTTGGCTTCAAATTTTATCTAACTTAATGAGAGCTGAGCAGATCATGATTGGCAGATGTAATATGAAACAGTCCTTACTCTTCGATGGCAGCCTCTAGCTCGTTCGGGAGATTCTTGACACCATCGATGTTCATGGTATCGTTTGTTCCCCCTACCAGATGGAGCATTCCGGCTCGATCGATCGTGGCGTGATCTCCTGTTCTGAACCAGCCATCTGGGGCAAAGGAAGCTGTTGTGGCGGACTGATTGTTGAAATAGCCCTTGAATACGATAGGTCCACGAACTTCAAGAAAGCTAAGTTCGTTTGCTGAGGCCTGGACACTTTCATCGCCAGCCTTAGGGATTGTAACTCGCATCTCTATTCCTAGGATGCAACGGCCAAGAGAATAGAACTGCTGCATATTCTGAACATCGTATCTCGGGCAATCGAGATTATAGATAGACCCAGCGCAGATTTCTGTCATACCATTGCGGCATTTTTAGCTTAGTGGTATTTTTCTAGTGGTGTTTGAGCCCAAGAGCAAGTTGACATCTAACTTACAAGGCTGCAGAGATCACATTTAGTGGTGGTCCGTATTTTCCTAGATAACGGGCGAGAACGACACATGTCTCTACGACATTTTCCTCGCCACCGGAAACTACAAAGAGGAGACAGCTTAAGTCTAGGTCAAGATTCTTGTCCAAAATAGCTGTGTCCAGCTGTTTCCTCAATTTTCCCAAGAAGGAATTCGGTGCAAATGTCCATTCCACACTGCCAGTGTAACATGAGATATTCACGCATTTGTAGTGAATGAACACTCACTTAAAGAGGTCGAAGATAGTAGAGTTACTGAAATCTTCTGATGTGAAAAGCTTCCTACTCCATTCTTCAATATATACTTAGATCCAATCTATAGTATAGCCTAGAAGATTAAGCTTTCTGCTCACAAGTCCTTGATTTGCCACGAGTCACTTAAACGAATAATTATCAACTTGTGGACTATCTAGACAGCACGTGTCCACCCAACTTTCCTGTATCAAACGCTTCATAATATCGGACTGGGTACATAACCTAACAACCTCAAACTATGCACTGCAAAGCAGCAACAGGTGATTTATGGGATATCTTAAAATGCTAATTTCCACGTTCCCGAGCCTGTGCCTAAGATCTCCTCGCAAGATCGCGCAAAGTCGGAGAAGCTCGAAAAAGTGAAGTGTTAATCATCGTTACACAATTTCATTGGTATTGATTGCTATCGGTGACTCGAAGTGATTACTATTGTCATTTTTAGCAACTTCTTCCTGGAACGACGATCTGATAAGATCTAACTACGAGGGTGTAGCGTGATATGGAGATCACTTTTGAGTCGTGTAAATATAACATGAAATTTCAACCGCAGATGTATTAGATTAAGACTTTTGTCAAGGACCCTCTACGCGAACAATACAATCGCTTCCACCATCAGGCGTATTGATATGCATGCACGTCGAAAATTATCTGATTTCTCTCGCCCACGTCTTCGGAGATCGAGCGATAACCATCTCTCCAACTTGCGTGAGAGAAGATAAATGAATGGAGACGTTTCCTGGATTCATGTTACTTTACACCGATATTGAAGAGGGATCAATTTTCTGTTATCTCTCAGGAAGTAGCTGTGGCACACGCTCTGCTTTGCATCCATTGAAACTCAACGCTTGTGACATCGAATACTTGTCTCCATGTGTATCGCGCCCATTTGCGTATTAAAATCTTGGATTAATTGCCATTTCTAGGGCGGAAGAAAGCCTGGAGGTGGAGGGGTAGTAGATTGTGGTACAAACAGGGGAGATGGAGGAAGGGTACGCGTCGGTAGCCGGGGCGAAAAGGAAGCATTCTTACTTAGTATTTTTTCCGGTTATAATGGTTGTGAAGGTTAGGTGTATCAATTTTCTCGGAAAGTAAGTCCTGTTTTGGCACTTCGCCGGCCATGCGACGGTGAATTTGGCGCAGGATCATATTGTACGGGCGTGGATCTGGGATAACGTTCAAGTCGACCCCTACTTTAGATCAGGAGATGGAGGCGGCTCGCGCTGCATTTACTCGATACTGGGGTGTCAAGCTAATCCTTTCTACATCGCTAATCATTAATGTCACAAATACCCTCGTCCATCAAAAGTACATTTTCTGCTGTGAACATTGGGGGAGGTCGACCATATGAAAGACCAAATGACTGTTGTGGTTCTTTATATCGAGCATGAAGGTCCTCTCTCAAAAAGGCAGCTATAACATGTTAACAATTAGATTGTGTAATATTCCAGGCATAAAAACTCTATGGCAAAGTAGTAGGGTCTCCTTTTCAATTGCTAGAAGAGCTTGGTGTATACTTTCCATATCTAGGTGTATTATTTCGGAACTTGGGATTGGATTGATCTCGAAAAATCAAGGCGTTTGAAGAAGTTGAAGGTATATTCGAGCTTCTTGTACTTGGTTCGGGTCATTTGTATCCTCGACGCGATTACTATAATTTACATATTGCAAAAAAGTAAACCATCTTCCTCATTCCATCTATCTATTCCTCTTGAGAGATTAACCAGTCCTGCGAGGTAACCAAAATCTACACCACCATGAAGACATCCATAATCTAGCGTATCGACTGCAGCACAAACACAATGTGCTAGATTTGCTTTCTCAGCATTCAAGGGAGGCTTGCTACTTTGAACCCCAACATTTTGATGTATCTTTCAACAGGATTGTTTTGAAAGAAGTGTTCGTAGATGGATATATCGTTGTAAAGCTAGGATCGTGAAAGCTAGAATGTAAAAGCGGGGTCCTAAGTAAGATATCATATGCAAGTCTTATATATATTCATGTAGATCGGATATTGAATGGATTCAATGGGATAGCTGGACTCAACTTGACAGATTTTGGATATTACTCCGCCTTGAATTATCTAACTCAGGGGGCGGAAAGGAGTGCGGTTGGGTGTTTGTGGATGTTTGGTTTGTGGACGTATGGTTTTTGGGCGTATAGATTTATATCGTCTTTAATCCATTTTACACTTCTCAATTTCTTACGCACATAAATATACCTCTCTAGACACACCACAGTAACAATAATTATACCTCATGCACATCTCTATTAACCAATCTACTACATAAAATTACAGGATATTATCTCTCCAGAAACTTATTCCCTTCCTCTTTCTTCTCTCCCCTACCCTTCCCTCCCCTTCTTTGCATGATATACATCTACTCCATCCCCCCTCTTCTCTCACCACTATACTCACTCTTCAAGAATACAAGCAGTTACATATATAACCACCATCTTCATATATATCCTATCCTCATTCTATCATATCCTCATCCTTATCCTCATCTTCTACCCTAAAAAATCAAACCCACACATTCCACACATCAAACCATGTATAAATCCTCACCCTCCTCATATCATCCCTCTTATTTTCAAGATGCTATACACCTATCCCAGTAATGCTATTCAATTCAATTTTGATTGATTAATTTCGGATTCGTTCGGATTCGGTTTCTTGTGAAGTTCAGTCCTACCTTGTGGAGCACAGATCAAATCAGATCGGTTTGATCAGTTTAATATACTCCAGTCCAATTCAACTCAACTCACCTCACCTCAACCCCCCCCAAACACCTGAATAGCTAAATAAGTCTTCGTAGAATAGTGTAACATACCTCTCCTTTTCTCTCCTCTTCTATTCTCTTCCTATTTCCCCCCTCTTCTTTTCCTTCTCCTCTTCTTCCCCTCTTTTCCCCTTCATTCCCACACATACCAATCCAATCAATAGAAAATGCATATATAACTCCTCGGTTTTACCCCCCACACTATACTCTACCTTACTTCTTCCATTCTCCTATTCTCCCGTTCTCCCCCCCCTCATTTATCCCATTTCATCCCATCCTAACCCACTCTATCATAGCTCTTTCTCCCCTCACTTTGTGAACTTCCCTCCATAATACATGTATATCTCTTTCCTCTTCTCCCTTTCCTATTACTCTTCCCTCTTCTTAGCATCTCAATTTCCCTATACCACCACATTCCTTTCACTAGTATTTCCCCCTTTCTCCTCTTCCCCCTCAAGAAAACTACTCATAACTACTCATAACTACTCACAGCTACTCACAACTCCCTATATCAGCCCCAGAATATCACTACATATACCCAAGTATACATACACTAACATTCTTTTCCATTCTCTCTTCCCTCTCCCCCTCCTTTCTTCTTCTCCCTCATCTACAGCTTCCCTATATTCCAATCTCCAATACTTCAACATTCCTATACCACTATATCCACAATCACATCCATACCACTCCCCTTCCCCCAACTCCCCTAACCCCTTTCGTTTTCCCACCAGCCCAACATCCCTACACCACTCTATGCGCATTCATATCCCTCCCCCATCCCTCTCCTCTCCGCCTTCTCCACCTTCTCCGTCTCCCCTCCCCCCAACCCTTTCAATTTCCCGAAATCCTCTCCCCAAGAAATCCCACAACCACCTACCTCATTTCTCACTCTCCTCTCCTCAATTCGCTAATCTCCCACTCCCACTCCCACTCCCACTCCCCCAATACCATATCCCCATACCCCCCCTAATCCTTGAATCCCCTAATCCCACAACCTCACATTCCTATCTCCCCATCTTTTCATATTTTCCAAATTCCCTCCTCCCTCCTCTCCCTCTCCCTCTCTTAATACCACTCCCCTATTCCCCTAATCCCCTAATCTTATTCTCGCTCCCCTCTCGAAATCCACATCCCAAGAAATCCAACTACCGCCTCATCTCTAACCTCCACTCTCGCTCCCCCGATCCCCTAATCCTCCAATCCCATACCATATCACATTTGACTTTGCTTAACTTTACTCAATTTTACTCAACTCACTAATATAGAATCCAGAGGAGATGCTAGAGATATATAGATATATATATATATATATTATATACCAACTAAGCATATATTCTCCATTTAGTACCAGTCAGTACCTAGCCAAGACAGAGCCATTGTCCAAAGGAAGAAAGAAAGAAAGGAAGGCTCTATCCCTCACCCACTCACTCACTTTCAATCACACAAAATCACCACAAAATCACCACAAAATCACCACAAAATCACAAACAATCATATAACTAGACTTATTAATTTTTTCAATATTTCAATTCCATTGATTCTCCATCCTATCCCATCTGTGCATTCCATCATTCCCAACTACACAATTCGCATTGTACGTAGTCAAGTAACTAATTAGTGAATTCCACTTTCCAGTCCATCCTAGGTATAGTATAGACAGTACACTCCCACCACCCAACCCTATCCTACTCAAAGAGTTTTCCCACGCATCCAGTATGGTATAGATGTCATCTCCAATCCTCCATTTATCCACCATCCATCCATTCTGAATCAATCAACCAAATTCATTTCC